TTTAATCTGCCAAAAAGTACATTCAACAACCATTCTACACCTGCTGAGAGTGTAATTTAACCTTCTTTTGCCAGGGCCTCTGAATTTATGGTATGGTTTCATAAGCCATGGCAAAAGGGGGTATGTGGAGTCCCCCAGAATAACAGTAACACTGTTTATGTCAATGTCATTTGTGGGAATAATGTCCCAGCCTGTCCATGAATGTAGACTCCTGAGCGGGGAAAAACTGGCACCATGCTCTTTTCCAGTACAGTCCATGATGATTTTGTTCATAAATCTGCCTCTGTGGTCCATTAGTGTCTGCATAACAGGAGAGTAGTATCCTTTGTGGTTTACGTACTTGTGCTCTTTGAGGAGGGCAAACTATGGGCACATGAGTCTCATTCATGGCCCCAGCACTGGTAGGAAACCCCATTCTCTCAAAGTCAGCAGTTACCTCCAGAATATCTTTAATGCCTGCCACCTTGGGGCAAACCACATGCCTGACTGCCTCAATTAGCTCTGCCACCATGTTACCAACTGTTGACTTTACAACCCCAAACTGGTTGGCAATGGACCTGTAGCAGTCTGGGGTATCCAGCTTCCAGACGGTTATAGCAACCCGCTTCTGGGCCGGCAAGGGTTACCTTAGTTGTCTCTTTACGGTGGAGGGTGGGTGCAAGCTACTCAAAAAGCTCCAGAAATGTGGATTTCTTCATGCGAGAGGTCTAGACCCACTGCTGGTCATCCCAGTTCTGCATGACGATGTGGTTCCACCAGTCTGAATGTGGTCCTGCACCAGAAGCGATGGTCTACATAGGGGACATCAGTGGCTTTGCCAATTCTACTGAGCAGCCTCTGCCAATGCGAGTCTGCAATGCCAGGGTACTCCTCTTGCCAATCCATCAGGAAATCTGTCAGGTACCTTTGGTGGGACAGAAAATGCCACTGAAATGTCCACCCGTGCCTTGCCAGTTTCTTGATACAAGAGTGAAAGCACAAGCAAGAGAAGTTCATCCAACGGCGCCTTCTCCATGTTACTGGCTCCGGTAGCTGGGATTGCACAGACCAAAATGACTGCTTGGCAAGCTTCATTGGTGGGCTGTTCAAACTTCCTGTAATGTGCAGGGCAGGCAGTAAAGTTTTCCCACAATGTACCACAGGCCATAGAACGTCAACCAATAATTTCAGCATCAAGCCCATAACTTCTGCTTGAGCTAAAGCATATATTTTCCAATGACATCCAATCTTGATTTAAAGACTTCAAGTGATGGAGAATCTACCACGTCCCTAAATAAATATATTCCAGGGGTTACTTATCCTCATTTTTTTTAAAATTGCACTTTATTTCTGCTCTAGCTGGACCTAGCAGAGATGGAGAGCCAGACACAGAGGAGCTTATTGAAGCAGAGTTAGCTGCTGTGGAAATTGTGGCTGCAAACCTGAAACTAACACCAAAGTAAGGCTTTGCAGAGGGTGGGGGGAGTGCTCAAACATTTAAAGGGACAGGACATCACAACTTCTAGATTGAATATTAACATTTATAGACAGGGTGGGACTCCAAAGGGTGCTGTGTTGACCTAATTCTATTCCCAGTAAAGTAAATGATAAAACTCCCATTGACTTCAGTGGGAGCCGTTAGGCTATCCATGAACACTTTTAAAAATCCCATCCAAAATGTCTCATTTTTATACAGCAGAGTTCATTTTCTAACCAGTATTTTAGTAAACCGAAGACTGGCTAATAATCACTTGCACTGGGTTTTCATATGGCCATGAGTCCCCCACAATATTGATGCCACACCGGGAGTAGGACCTGTCATAGAAATCCGATTTACAATCAAACTGTTAATTTTTCTAACGAAATTTCTGTTGGTTGATGCTGTGAAGCTTTTCTTACCATGGGTATATTCAGACTGTTCTGCTGAACAACATGGGTGCAGATTCAAATCTGCATTCTAGGGGTTATTTCCAACTTGTGTTCTGGAAAAGGCAGAAGATTTTTGCTTGTATTAGTAGTAAATTAAATAATATGATAGGAATCTAAAGAAGGACTTGGAAAATTGCTATTTGTATTTTTGTTTTGTTCTTTTGCAGGGACGATAGGAGCTGGACTATCTTGCTCGTGTTCATAAGGAGCCAATACAAACAGCTAAATTATTGTAACAATATTTAAAGAGAAATTAATAAGTGACAACACCTATTAATGAGGTTCTCTGGCATGGCTCCTGAGAACGTGAAGAGAGAACAAGAGGCCACAATTAACATATACTGCACTTAATGGTATATATTGTGTGTATATTACTGACCCAGGTGTAAGGCCAAATTCTTCCCTGGTGTAAACTGGCACAGTTTCTTTGACTTAAATGGAACCATGTCAATTGACACCAGCAGAAAATTTGGATCATTAAATTGAGGCCCACACGGCAGAATTAAAATCTCTTAACACTTGCAGGCTGTCTCATTGGATAATGCACATGAGACCTGTATCCCAGCATTTGACAGCTAGAAAAAATCTGATGGACACACACACACTGTGCACAAGGATAAAAACCTTTCTCTTGCTTTGGTCCAGTTTAGCGTTGGAAATGAAGGGTTGGGACTAGAAGGAAAGAAGTAGTAATGTTTATTCAAGTTGTCTGGTTTTAATATGAAAACACTTATCTCCATTAGGCTCCAGCTTTGGTGTTAACACACCTACCCACCTCTTCTCCCTGTGAAGGGCTTTGATGGATTCACGAACTTTTAATAATTCTGCCTCAACAGAGGCTATTGCCTATGGAAGAAAGAGAGAAGATTCTGTTTTAAATTTTACCAGTGTGCTGCTTGTAATCTCATTTGCTGTGTAAACCTTGCTATAAGCAGTAATATCACATTTAGGATATGTCTACATTATAGTTTTTGCCTTGAGTTAATTGTCTGCCATTAACTTGAGGTATTAGCACATTTCTAACAGTCTGGATACTTCTCTGTGGGTCATACTTTTCCACTGTGCCTGGAAGCAGATCCTCAGGAACTCCTAAGCATCTTAATTTAGAACATGTCTGGTACAGTTCTGGTACATCCTATATCTACCTTCTGACAAAACAGGACTCTAGGACTTTCAATCTGTGGCTTTTAAAGCAACACTGAAAAACCTGCATGATGTCCGTGTAGAACACGAAAGGAGGATAAAGCTCCTCAGAAAGAATTCTCAGCCCATGGAGAAACTAAACAAGTCAACAGCCAGCATGACAAGACCCAGGTTACCTCATCAGATGGAAAATGAACACACTGCAGGAACTGGGGGGGGGGGGGATAGCTCAGTGGTTTGAGCATTGGCCTGCTAAACCCAGGGTTGTGAGTTCAATCTTTGAGGGGGCCACTTAGGGATGGGGACAAAATCAGTACTTGGTCCTGCTAGTGAAGGCAGGGGGCTGGACTCAATGACCTTTCAGGGTCCCTTTCCAGTTCTATGAGAGAGGTATATCTCCATATATAACCCAAAGGTGGCAGTCCTATCTACCTCTCTTCTGAAATGAGTGCATGCCTGGCAATGAGGTGAAGTGCTCTTGACTTGAACAGCTGCAGATGCTCACAGCTGATACATGCTGGCTGACACTGTCTCATGTTCTCCATGGAAGTACAGCTCCTGAAGAGAGGTCTTTAGAGGCAGAGCACAGATGTGATGCCAAAATGGATGAGCTGATATAGGGGGACTGATTCTCAGTTACTCCATTCTGAAGCGGGGGGAGGCAAAATTGGCCTTGAGACACCTTTTGTGCTCCCCATAGTTTAGGGCTATGCAGGGGCTGCCTAACCTGAGACTACTCTAACTTACACTCTGCTTCCCATGGCCCCTGGAAAATAAAGAAATACTGTTGTGCAGTGCATTCACCTACACCCTCCACTCACTCCCTGCATGCCCCTAACATGGGTGCTGGGCAGGGAGCAGGGTTGGTTTAGAGCCTTTATGCCAATTCTACATTGGCTGGAGAGAATCACTACTCCGGGCATATCTTCAGGGGGACCATTTCTGCTGCCTTTATGCTGTCACAATGGCAGAGAATGGCCCGAGCCTAACTGAGAATCAGGTCTATGATGTCTTTCCTTGAACTATTGCTTTCAGAAGGGAGGGGTGATGGTATTTTGATCACAATCTCAGCTGGGGCCTCTAATGTGCTACTGTAATGCAAATAAAAAATAACAACAGAACAAATAACCCTGCAGTGCAAATAACTGTGTGCGCTGCCACAGTCAGGCAGGGAGGTCTGGATTCACAAAGGGACATAGGAGTTGTGGTGCTTAGTGTTACAATGCCTTACTTTTAGGCGCATAACAAATCACAGGAACAACACTGTGATCCACAGATCGTGAGTTGGGGGCTAGACTGTGATTCACAAAGCCAGCAACTAACTGGGGAGCTGCCTAAGCTAGCCAATGGGAGATGCTGACCAGGGGGGTATGGGCTAGCACCTATCTCTGCTAGTGATTCTCAGCTGTGAACCCTTTTCTGGAGTTAGGGGCCCAAAGTTGTTTTTGAGAATTGCTGGGGAGAGCAGGGTACTCAGCTGGGATGTCAGAGACCCCTAGTTCAACTGCCCCCTCCACCTGATGAAGAGAAGGGACTTGACTGGGAATCTGCTACCTCCCAGGTCAGCACCCTAATCATTGGGCAATAGGATATTCTGACATGGGGCTCCCTCAATCTCAGCTGTTCTACTGTGTATAAATAAAAAGTAATTGGAGCAGGGGGACTGGACCCTGGACTCCCACATCCCAGGTGATGGTGCTAACCACTCAGCTAAAAGTTATGTAGGGCCTTCATAAGCTGGAAAGAAGCACTGCCTTGGGACATCCCTGTTGTAAAGGTGCAGGAGGCTAGAGCCCAGCTTCATGGAGCTTGGGACACCTGAAGTTACCACATCACCACGAGGCTAAAAGTTATGAGGGAGCAGATCCTCCTTCTCCTCCTCACCCCAGCCATTTTGTGTGAGCTTGCCTGTGGGACCCAATGGGGAAGGTGTGCTCTGAGTATGCTGACTGGCTAGGGCTCTGCAGGTGAGTTAAGCAGAGTAATGTCTATATGCCCCTGGTTCTTGAAGATAAGTGTTCAGGTCCCTAGTGTGGTGCAGCAGTACACATGCCCAGAGGCAGAAACTTAGGTACCTAAGGAAACTTTACTCTTGAAAATTTTAGTGCTAAATAAGTGTAGGTGCCTACCCGGGTCAGTGGGGGTCTTGTGAATTGCAGTGGTGACTAAAAGCTGGGACTTAGGTACCTAAATCTGGGCTTTAGGCATGTAACTCCCTTTATGAATCTGGGCCTAGTCACTATGATTGGGTGTATACATCCCAGACTTGTTAACCAGGAGTCAATGGAGTCTGAGCCCAATTAAGGGTGTCAGGCATAACTGATGATCATACCCAGCTGGGAGGAGCTGGGCCTTCATAAAGGAAGGACTAAGGAGCATCGAGCAATAGGAAGGCAGGTAGAAGATCCAAGTGAGAGATAGTTAGAAAGTTTATCTGAACTAAAGGCAAAGAGAAGCTAGGGCCTAAGGTGCATTTGGACTGAAGTTTGAGGGGATACAGCTGAAGAGGCTACAGAGAACAAGTGGATCCTGTGGGAGACCCTGAGTCAGAGTCTGCAAGAAGCAGGGAGAGGTTGGAGGAGCTGAATAGGGCCTGGAGAGTAGATCACTGCAGGAGCCCTAACATAATGGTTGTAGTTAGTAGGAAGAGGTCCAGAGATGTAGCAGCAAGGAGTCTCACAGAGCAGACTACTGCTGCTTGTTACATGATACCTGCTCTGGAACCTAGTGGGGTGGGAGGACCTGGGTTTCCTTACCAGCCACTGGAAAGGTGGCATGAAGCCCCCTGAGAGGGGAATAAGGATGACTGGAAGTCCTGAGAGAAGGAGTGTGAAGGCCTTTTGTAAGGACATGGGGACTGTTATTTGTTAGACTCTCTGTTGACTCAAAGGGGGGGGGGGACTAAAATGTAATGGGGCTGGAGGGCTGAGTTGCAAGACAAGACAGATCATTGCAGGGCTGGAGAAACTGTTGACAGCGTTAAGCAAAAAAGAGCTGCTATCCCCAGCTCTGCCATTAGGGGACCTGCCAAAGGTGAGTCAACTCTTCTGCAGTCACCAATACTGAAATGTGGCCAAGTTCTTTAAGGGATGACTCTACAAAGTTTCCAGGTTCTTGATTTGTTTCCCTCTACTTTCTCCTGCCCACTTCCATCCCTCCAACATGAGACATTAACAGGGTTGAAGTTAACCAAGGGAACATCTTAGGATCAGTGTTTAATAGGCAGTCTGAAAGCTGATCGAGAATTGGTCTGGGTCTCCCTGCACCGCTTCAGTATTCACCCTGATTTGTTCAGTGTGGCTATATCTTGTTTTTGCTCACCTGTGCTGATGTCTTGTCTTGTGCTGGTGCCCTGTTGTCATTGTCAATCTGCTGTACTGCAGACCCCTTTTCAGCTAAGTGCTTGGATAACGCTGGGGCCAGTCTGTATGCTGGGGAGGATAGGTAACGATGGGCAGGCTGGGTGGAGGTGCTGAGCTCTGTAGAGGGCCTGTACACCAGGAAAGAAAGCAAAAATAGAGAGAGGATGAAATGAGAAGCTCAACAGGAGAACTCTTAGGTTCCTTTCCCTGGAATCTAGAATCATCATTTAAAAAAAACTTCTGTTTTCAACAGAGTAATAACTGTCATGCCTGAGTAAGAATTATGGGTTCGTTATGACCGCTGTTAGCTAGCACTATATTTGGCTGGAAAAATGGATACGTATAGTGGATGTCATTTTGTTTATTGAATGGAGACCATAAAGTCCCTAGCACAGAATTCTAGTTCCCCTTCATTTAGCAACAGTACAGCTGCTCTCTCTTTTCAACTTCCCCTGTTTCTTAGCCACTGGCAGTAGAGGGCCAACTAAACTAGGCAATTCAACTAAGGAAAGTTTTAGAAAGCCAGAAATCCTGCGGTCCAATCTGTGCTAGGCTGAAGTACCAAATGAGCCTTTTAATGACACCTGGAATAGCAACTCCAAATTCTGCTCTCACTGATGGCTCATCCTGCCCAAATGTGATGCAAACAAAAACCCATCAAGTTATCAAATGACCTTGTGGACTCAGAGAAAGATTATGGTAAAGTCATGTAAAGAAGGGAGCTTTTGTTGCTAACTGAAAGTAAGGAAATATCAGTCTTGAAAGAATTAATGGGCAACTTGCATTCAATCACATTCCATGCTAAGGCACAAACACTTAAGTAACATCTCAGTGATCAAATAGCTTGTTGACACTGTTTATATTCTATCAAACTATTCATACTGTAGCTGTGGTTCTTGATTAGTCTGAATGTATTTAAAATTGGTTTCTAATAGCAATAACGCCACCCAGTGTTTTTGCACTGTAATGTTTAGTAAATATATTTTCCATTTCTTTCCTGTTGGGAAGGATGAAATTCACCCCTGTTCAAAAGGGTGAATGCTATCACTTAATTCTACTTCAGCCCTGTTTGGCAGATATTTAAGTCTACAAACTGAACAGACCAATTAGGCAAGACAAATACTCAGAACTTGTGCCAAGGACCAGCACATGGTTAAGAGACCTCTTCAGTCTCATTCATGTCCTCCATAGGCAAAGTGCAAAAATGGGTCAAATGAAGGACAAGCATAACAAGATGCCAAAACAACTCCCAGACATAGAGTATTGCCGTGAACTCTGAGGCGCCTAAGAGGAGCCTTTTCTCACACCTGGATGACATAAAGGGCCATTGATCATTCAGGAATGGAGGTAACCGATTTAAGTCAGTTACCTGAGTCTAAAGGGCACAGAGCAGTCCCATTGACATCACTGAGGTTATCCACTGTGGGAGGCACTGTCTGGTAGTAAGTATTGTGAAGCTGGGCCCGAGATTAGGAGTGACAAAACATGGCACAAAGAGCTGACGTTAAGAAGAGAAAACAAAATAAATGTGTGCTTGTTTGTGAATGGGGCTCATAATTCTAATTCCATCTTTGTTGTTTTATTTAGATAGTTACTAGTATGGCCCCCAGCACCATAATATTCAAACCCCTGTAGAAGGTTGGTGTAAGAGGTCACATGCCTTCAAATTCATTGTTCACCTACTCTGCTGCCAAGCATCCTAAAGAGTTGATGGACTACAACACCCATGACACCCCCTAAAGGAGAGTATGTGTTATAGAATAACTGACTCATCCAAAACTGCTTGCTTATTTGTATTATGGTAATACCTACTGAATCCACCTGAGATCAGGACCCTATTGTGTTAGGTCTGTACAAATACCTAGAAAAACATGGCGCCTGTCCTAAAGCATTTACATTCTAAATAGACAAAGGAAGCATCGTTGTCCCCACCTTCAGATGGGAAACTGAGGTTCAGAGAAAGTAAGTGACTTGCCCAAGGTGTCACATCAGTAGCAGAACTGGGAACTAAACCCAGAGCTTCTGAATCCCAACCCAAGGCCATAACCACAAGACCAACCTTTCTCTCTACTTGTCAGCAAGGCTGAGTTCTGCAGTTACTGTACAGGATCAAAGCCTGATAGAGTGTTTTACAATTTCTTTTATGGAAGTGTGTTAGATTTGACAAAATGCTTTGTTGATAGTTTTCTGTGTGCGAGCCATTGCGACCACCTTCACATTCTCTAGGGTGAGAGGAGCAGGAATCTGCAAAACGTTCTGCCATAATATGAAGTCACGGCATGAAAGGTTCTTTCACTGACCCCATAGACTGTAATGGCTACTTTGTGGGCACAGTATCAATATATCACGCAAATACTTATTCAGATGACTGATATTTTTAAAAAAGCATGGAAAGAAACTGATTTTACTGTACAGTTTCAACCCTTCCATTTTGTAATCTTAATTGGTGTTTTATGAACTGATCACTGACCACATTTCATCTGTCAAATCAAAGTCATTTACTGTATGGGCACAGTCAAGTAGATAATGTTCAAAATTGCTTCTATATTAGCACTGTTAGATGCAGGTGATGAATGTGCTGCAGCTTGGAAGTATCTGGTCTCTTCAAATTCACTACTCCAGTGGTATAAATACACTGGGACTGACACTCACGGTGCTTGCTCATGTTCTGGGAAGTCCCCTCCCTCCATCATTTCCAGTGTCTGCCTTCTCCGAGCCTCCTTTCTTCTGCAGCGCTCTTGAAGCAGGTTGTTTCTGACAGTGCGAAAAAAGATCTTTGCATTCTCCTTTGCTGACATCTGCTGGAACGACATGCAACAGAGAAAGGAGTGGATTTAAAACAAGCACTGCTCTGAAGCAGCAAGCAGTCAGTCAACACAATCCCAGATAAAGCTGAGTGATGCTATCTTCTCCCCTCCACCCACAAGAAAGCAAATGTTACTCCAGACTTTTGTGGATGCTGGCTAACTTTAGTTGCTCTTCCCTAGTTTGTCGGGAACTTAATAGAGCCCTCATCTTTAATATGATTTGGTTTTGTAGATAGGGATGGACCTACTGTCCCTCCTGAAGTTATTTTAAAGAATGTGCTTGAAAGACAACAAAGGGCCCAGTTACTTCCCGCTGTGCCAAGTGTGTGTAAAATGCTGTATTTCCTAGCTGGCAGCACTTGATGCTCATTATGCACCTAGTGCATCTACATGGGGAATTGTGAAAGAGGAAAAAGGAAAAAATAATGTAACCACTGTACCTTCTACTCATTTCTTACACTGATGATAAACTACCACAAGGTGTCACTGTGGTAAAGAAAAACAGCATTGACATTATAAACATTGCCTTTCTCTACGCCCCATGCCAATGTAAAGCAGGGGTTCTCCACCTTTTTCTTTGAGTCCCTCCCTCGCAACATGGTATTAAAAACTCCACGGCCCACCTGTGCCACAACAACTTGTTTTCTGCATAGAAAAGCCTGGGCCTGTATTAGGGGATAGCAAGCAGGGCAATTGCTTGGGACCTCATGCCACAGTGGCCCCTGCAAAGCTAAATTGATCAGGTTGCGCCTTCAGCCCCAGGTGGCAGGGCTCAGAGACCTGGGCTTCAGCCCCATGCAGTGGGGCTTCAGCTTTCTGCCCTAAGCCCCAGTGAGTCTAACAGTGGCCCTGCTTGGCGGACCACCTGAAACCTGCTCATGGCCCCCAGGGGGCCCTGGACCTCCTGTAACTGAGGGTTGATCTCCTTGGTATCTGTGCCTCCACACTGCTAGGTGAAGCCATGATAAAAAAGGAATTCTCTTTTCAAGCACACTGCCCCTGGGGCCTCCTCACAAAGCTTGGTAAACCAACTAGAAGAAGCTTTACTGAGGAGTTCACACAGCTTTACACTGAATTAGCTCCTGAATGGACACAAGGTGGGGTGGAAGGGAGGGGGAATGATGCATGTCTCCTCCAGCCATATGCCAAGCTCCCTTCCTTCCTACCACCTCCCCAGCCAGTCTGCACACACACAACTCTGGTGCCATGGAGGGCCCCTTCCACAGATCCAAAAATGGGATGGCAGATGTCTGGGGGTGGTGACCTGACATACCACACACAAAGGAGGGGGCAGGATTTACTCCTCACTGTCCCATATGACTAGAATGTGTCTTTATCTCAAAGCAGAGTGAAAATTCTAAACTTAAAACCCCACTTTCTTCTTTTGCTCACCTAACATTGCTCGGCAACTGGTGCAGATATATTTTATGGGGGTGATCTCACATACACACACACACGCGCGCGCGTGCGCTCTCTCTCTCTCTCTCTCTCTCTCTAATCATCATAGCCAAGAGCCTACCTATCCACACCAATAGGCCAAGCAAGCAGATGAGTCAGTAAAATGGGATGGTACCTTCACACAGTACTCCATCACAGGGTGTGACCTCTTGTGTGGTTTGCTCTGACGCTCAGTGAAGAAGCAGACTTGGCAAAGATCAAAATTCAGGCACTTCAGACAGCGATACCTGTCAGGGAAAACAGAAAGGATAAGATTAACCTCCAAGGACTGGCAACTTCATACAAGTGAATTGGGATCTTGGAAATCAGAACCCATGAATGTTTGATGATATAGACAGAGGTGGGCAGGCAACAGTTTTCCTGGTCCAAGAAAATATGAGATATTGAAAATCTTTCTGTCCTAAATAAGGATGAATAGTCCAAAATCTTGAATTTTCACAAACTGAAAATTTAAAAAATATTTTGGTTTGGGTCAAGTGAAACATTTCAGTTTGATAATTTTTGAAATGTTTTTTTTTTTTTATTTGTGACCTTTTTTTATTTTGGGTTTTTTTTTTGACCTTTTAGACTAAATTTACTGAAACTTTGAAACAAAAAAGTTGTTTTGACTCAAAACTGAAACTTTCTGGTTTTAAAATGTCAGTTTTCTTTTCCAAAAACATTTTGAAGTTGGACACTTTGTTGAAACCAACCCTGGTCATCAAATTTGGCATTTTTCAGTGAAAAATTGGTTAATCAAAAAACCCAGCTTTTCTGATGATACTATCAATGTAGTAATGATTTCCCCCGGCTAGGGGACCGCCAAGGAGTTCATCATCGAAATGAGTAATTGATCAGCTGACAATGTTCTAATACTTAGAACAGCTTTATTTTTATAGCTAATAACTGATGCACTGAATTTCGTATAGTGGAGCAATAGTTGCCAATGATGCCATTTTTGGTACTGTTGCTGTATCCTCGTATTTCACATGCTTCAGTTTATCTCTATATACAGTTCATTGTGGGCTGTAACATCCCAGCATGCTGAATGCTGGGGCATCAGAGCAAAGTGGGACCTATGACATTGAAAAAACTTAAAAGTCAATAATACAAGTTAACATTGCCACAAAAGTGTAATAGTAAAACTCCCTGTCCTGGGTTCATCACTGTCATCTCGCCTAGTCCTGCCTTCTCTCAGACATCCTCCCTTCACCCTTCCCATAGCACCTGTCCAAGAGGTGGGGAAAGATAAGCTGCAGTTAACTCCTGGTTTGCTGGAGACCAGGCAATAGAGCAGGGTGAAGCTTTTCAGCTGAAACTTTTCTCAATTAAAAATGCAGACTTGAGTCAACTGGAACTTTTTGAGATTAGGGTCCAATTGTTTCATTAAAAAAATCAGAATCTGAAACATTTATTTCAAGATTTTTGAAATGTTATGATTTTTCAATTCAAAAAGCCTTTGTTTCAAATTTTACAGCAATTTTATTTTAAAAAAGGTGAACCCTTTCCCCCCCCCCCCAAAAAAAAACCCTAAAGGAAATGTTTCATTTAACCCAAAGTGTAAAAGTTTAATTTTTTTGTTTTGGTTTGTTGAAAATTGTTTTTGAATGGAGTCAACTCAAAACAACTTTCCCCACCATGATTTAGTTCAGCCACTGAACTGAAAAAGCAGTTATTCACACAGTTTAACCAGGCAGTGCCCTGAGCCCTGTTCCACTATTATTAAACCAGGTGTGAGATACCGAACTCAAAACTAGAGGCCTTGATTACAGCTAGACGAGGATGGAGAACTGACTGCTCCCTGTGTAGCCCTCACTGGACTTTGAATACTTGTACAGCTCTTGAGAATAGAGGAGCTTTGTAAAATAGATCTAGGCAAACACTGCCGGAGGATATTCAAAACCAGATCATGATCTAGTTTCATGAAAACATTTATATTAATATTAAGCTTTTGATATTTGCTTTTTATTTTGGGCCCTAGCTACCTAGTAGCATTCCTATAATACTCTGAGGTATTTTTTTAATTGCATGGATGTAAAGCAGAGGTTCTCAAACTTCATGGAACTGCAACCCCCTGCTGACAACAAAAATTACTACATGACCCCAGGAGGAGGGACTGAAACCTGAGCCCTGCCACCCAGGGCTGAATCCTTCAGGCTTTGGCTTGGGCCCAGAGCCCCAGCAAGTGTAAGCAGTCCTGACCCACAGTTTGAGAACCGCTGATGTAACGGATATTGTAGCTAACCAACTGGAGAAGGCAAAACAAGATTTAATAACAAAAAGACACCATGGCTACAATGTATGCAGTGTAGTTGTAGCCGGGTCAGTCCCAGGATATTACAGAGACCACATGGGTGAGATAACTGTTGTATGCAGTGTTCTGAGGGTTACAGAGGGTGAGACCTCTGGGGATGATGATTTGTTTCTTGCATTTGCTCAGGAAGTAGATGTTGTTGTTAAGTTTTGCTACAAGGCAGCATTGCATAATGGCCAGGGTAGTGGCCCAAAGCTCAGGAAACCTGAGTTCTATACCCAGCTCTGCCACTGGCCTGCTGATGATCTCAGGCACGTCACTTTCCCTTTCTGTGCCTCTATTTCCCCATCTGTCTTGTCTAATTATACTGTAAGCTCTTTGAGGCTGCAACTATCTCTCACTACGTCCATGTAAAATGCCTAGCACAATGGGGTCCTGATCTTGGCTGATCTGTACACACTACAAATAATACTTTATAGTAAGTATGCTGTACCTTAGTCCAGTGATGGGGAAATTCTTACAGATGCTACATCTAACGTGATGCATAACCATTTCAGTGGCTGATAATCTATAACAGGTAGGAAGCCACAGGAGAAGGCCAGGTTCAGATTGTAGCCAAGATAGGAATTTCTCTTCACCGATTGCTGAGTTCAGAACCTGGAAAAGAATATCAATCTCTGGTTCAATCACTTACTTAAATAGAACTATTGCCTCTGTCACACCTCATACTATAAGCCCTGATCCTAGATCAGGATATGCTAGCACAGACTCCTCCACACATGTAGAATACCACTGGCTTCAAAGGGTCTCCACATGAGTGCAGGGGTCCATGCTAGTACCTTACTGAGTATTCTTCTTTATTGGTGTCAGATGTTTACCATGTGGAATTGGGAAGCAAGCTTGTCCCTCAAAATGAGGTAACTTTAATTGCTGTAATGTGATACACTGGCAATTTCAATCAGTCAGCAACATTCATGGTCACTTCCCAAGGTCATCGGAATTCTACTCACCCCATGGAAGCAGCTTCGAATAGCAATTTCCACACAAGAAGGAGCACAGCTTTCCCCCACAATGGCTGGGATCTACATCAGGAAGACAGACAGCTGTTCAGAACCACCATGATAAGACAGCTATCACCACCAGGCTATACCGATGTAGTGACAGCACAGATGGTGAAGTGTCAAAGGAAAAGCCATTTACTTCTTATGGTGGGGAAAAGACTGTTTAAATTTAGACACATGACACCAGTGTAATTCCAAACCTGACTATGTGTCAGAATGATGTCTCTGGCCCAGTAATTAGATATGAATCAATAGATTGTGCTGTCAGGCTAAAGCACTGAACCCAGTAGTGGGACAGACTTTTTTTCCCCCCAGCATAGACTTATTCCATGTTTTCCTAAACACAGTGAAGTGAGAAAACTCCCACCTTAACCTCCACACCTCATAGCATCTCCTGGCTGAGAGCTTCTTGAAGGCCATTCTCAGAGCCATGCCAATGAGTAATGCCTGCCTGTCTGCTGCTGCTGTTTATTATTTGTATTATCATATAGCCCCATAGGAGCCCCAGTCATGGACCAAGACCCCATTATGCTAGATCCTGGACAAACAGAACAAAAAGAAGGTCCCTGAACATAAGAATGGCCATACTGACTCAGGACACCATTCCTGGCCATCCTGGCTAATAGCTATTGATGGACCTGTTCTCCATGAACTTATCTAGTTCATGTTTGAACCTTGTTATAGTCTTGGCCTTCACAATATCCTCTGGCAAGGAGTTCCACAGGTTGACTGTGCATTGTGTGGGGGGAAAAATACTTCCTTTTGTTTGTTTTAAACCTGCTGCCTATTAATTTCATTGGGTGACCCCTAGTTCTTGTGTTATGAGAAGGAGTAAATAACACTTCCTTATTTACTTTCTCCACACCAGTCATGATTTTATAGACCTCTATCATACCCCCCATTAGTCGTCTCTTTTTCAAGCTGAAAAGTCCCAGTCTTATTAATCTCTCCTCATATGGCAGCCGTTCCATTCCCCTAATCATTTTTGTTGCCCTTTTCTGAACATTTTTCAATTCCACTATATCTTTTTTGAGAAGGGGCAACCACATCTGCATGCAGAATTCAAGATGTGGGTGTACCATGGATTTATATAGAGGCAATATATTTTCTGTCTTATTATCTATCCCTTTCTTACTGATTCCCAACAATGTTTGCTTTTTTGACTGCTGCTGCACATTGAGTGGATGTTTTCAGAGAACTATCCACAATGACTCCAAGATTTCTTTCTTGAGTGGTAGCAGCCAATGTAGAACCCATCATTTTATATGTATAGTTGGGATTATGTTTTCCAATGTGCATTACTTTGCATTTATCAACATTGAATTTCATCTGACATTTTGTTGCCCAGTCACCCAGTTTTGAGAGATTCTTTTGTAGCTCTTCGCAGTCGGCCTGGGACTCAACTATCTTCAGCAATTTTGTATCATCTGCAAATTTTGCCACCTCATTGTTTACCTCTTTCTCCAGATCATTTATGAATATACTGAATAGGACTGGGCCCAGTACAGACCCGTGGGGGACACCACTATTTACCTCTCTCCATTTTGAAAACTGACCATTTATTCCTACCCTTTGTTTCCTATCTTTTAACCAGTTACTGATCCACGAGAGGACCTTCCCTCTTATCCCATGACAGCTTACTTTGCTTCAGAGCCTTTAGTGAGGGACCTTGTCAAAGGCTTTCTGAAAATCTAAGTACACTATATCCCCAACAAATCATGTTCATCTATGTGTCTGACAATTTTGTTCTTTACTATAGTTTCAACCAGTTTGCCCGGTACTGAAGTCAGTTAGTAGTTCTGCAATTTCACATTTGCGTTCCTTCAGAACTCTTGGGTGAATACCATCTGGTCCTGGTGACTTATTACTGTTTAGTTTATCAATTTGTCCCCAAACCTCCTCCTCCCTTCCCCCAAGGAGCTTACAATCTAAGTAGCTATGGCCTGGACCCAGCAAGCAGCTGGAGCCCTTTTGACAACAACAGGATTCTGCATAGGTGCAATTCCATGCTCTTGGAACTACTTACAGGATCTGGCTACCATAAAGTTAGCCAAAACTCAAGCTGCAGAGGCACTGCTATCAATGGGAATTTTGACTGAGTGAAGACAACAGGATTTGACACTGAAGCCCTGGTCCAACAACTGGTCTACATGGCAGATCCCTGTGCTTACATGGAGCCCCAGTGACTTCAGTTTTGTAAAGGGACTGCTCAGTTCAACAAAACAAACTCTCTACTCACAGTGCTGCAGGCTGGGAACTTGCTGCTTTATTCACCTGTAGCACAATAGAGTGAGGGAAAGCCTCTCACCTTACAAAAGAGGAAGTAAGGGAAGGGTGGAGCATGGCTCCATCCCATAATATTTGGGGTAACCTAGTTAGCCCTTTTACAACCACTTTACTACACTTAGCCATTCCATGTGTGGAATAGCAGTGACATCACCTGATGTAAGTCTGTCAGCAGACTCCTCATGGCACTCCGAGTGATCAGGGTCCTCCTCCCATTGGGGTCAGCATAGAGTTGAAACAAAGCTGCAAAGGACCAGAGAAGACAGCTTTACAATCCTGGCAGAGCCTGAAGATTCTCAATGCAACTTCTTTCCAACAAGAGCCGCCATGGCAACACTTGGATGTCTCATCAATACACCACTACCAGGAAAGCAATTACCACCATCATATTGTCTGTGACTTGTTCTGAGATGCTTACACAAAGGGTACTATATAATAATCACTGATGGATGGATATTACTCTTCTTCATCAACCTTTTTCCTACAATAAAGCCACAGATTTTGGTCCCATGTACTTACATTTGTGCACACTTGGACCCCATTTTCTTTTCATGTAGAAATAAAATAGATTGGAGATTTGGTCAACACTCAATACATAGTACCTTAAGTAGTGTGTACAGGTCTGTTTTTCCCACCTTTGTATTTAGTAAGCAGACTGTCTCCTGAGAGAGCAATTAGGGCAGCTGCGGCCGATCTGGCTTTGATAAACCCTGTTCCAGTCCTAGAACAAGATCAAAAAATAAAGCTAGGAATGTGAAAGCTAAAGCTACTAGTGCAAAAACCATTGTTATATTGGAAGACAACCTCATATAAAAGGACCTGGATTCTTATGTACATGCTTTGACATACCATATTATTTATATAAAAAATGTGCCACTGTGCCAGGCTCTGTACAAACACAAAACAAAAAGATTACAATCTAAGTAGATTTTAGCGTTGGATTTTACACTGTGCTATCACAAACTGTAACAAGATTATGTCCCATCTGAAACCCTGTGTTAAAATGTGATTCTGTTCTGAAAGGTACCCTATAAAATGGCATTTGCTTACTCAATAGACCTGCTTCATGTCACTGAACTCCCTCCCTAAGTTTTTACTATCTCTGACTCCTGTGGAGCCAGTACAGCTGTGGGAGAGAGAGCTGGGTTCTACTATGTTTTATGTATCATCAAAAGAATTAACTTGGTCCCCAGCCCAGTAGTGGGCTCTGTGTGGGCAGATCCCAGTGACTGAGCAGATCCTCACTGACTTCATTGGGACGCTTGATAGGCTTACGGATAGGCAGGATCAGGGCCTAAGCTCTAACTGTTGAAGTGCAGGCCAGAAAGGACCCAGCTTAACTTTCAGCTCAACTGCAGTTTGCAAGGTGGACAGTTAATATATTTTTTTTTTAAACCTGAAAACAGGGAAGATTTGATTTGGAATCTGAGAGACCATAAATGTGGAACACTGCAATGCTATTATAACAGAGTCACTTTTCAGGGTAGGGTAGCACTTTAAAGAATTTTAATTACTATGGTGCATCAAAATCATCTTCAGAAGTATCCATAATCTTCTTTTATTATGGGAAGGATTGAGATATAGCGGTAATATATATCTTGGTGGGAGTTTCAATCAGACAAGGGTTTCTAGACTTGGAAACTTACCATTCTCTTCAGAACATCAATGGCAAGAGGTTTAAAGGGAAGAATAAAATTGTGCTGTACTACTGGAAAGGAAACTACAGACGATCAGAAACTCACTTAAACTGAATGGACTAGTGGGCTGAGTCATCAGCAGTGCACTGAGACCAAACTAAGATCAATCAGCTGGGAAAAAGGTGAAGACGTAAACAGAATGTTCACCAGACACTTCTGTCTGATGAAATGTGCAGAAAAGATACCAGTGAAATCACTCGTGAGCTCCTACTGTCCACAGAAAAGCCTTTGTGATATTCTCAGCAGGCATACAAATAAACTAACACATGGATACACAAGAGGGACATACCAGAACCTTTTAGGAAAAAATGTTTTAGCTTCAGATAGTAGAAAAAACTATAGATGGAAGTAAAACGATCACTGGAAGAAAACAAAATGACACGTGAAGCTTTTCCTACAGTGCATGCAGGCAAGAAAGTCACTGGCAAAATCAAATATGCAGCAAGAGGACAATGATGCCCGGCCTTGGGAAGTCAGAAAATGGCTTGAAAAAAGGGACCAAGTCAGTCCTGTAATGGAGATTCTTCTATTCAATTTCCCTTGGGTTGTACGTACTTAGAGTATGAAGCTTAGAAAATACTCCTGATATTTCTCGTTTTGTTCCAAAATACTCTAGTTTATATTTAACCTTCAAGTGATTTCTGTAAGCTGTTCATCACATGGAATTGCAAACAGCAGATCAATTTATTCATTACGGGAAATTCAAGGGGGATAGTAAAAGTACAATGAATCACTTAAGTTCTGCTTTGGAGGGCTTAAGTGGTACATAGGGTTTGTTCTTGCTCTTTGTGCGGGGTAAGTTCCATCCATTGTGAATAAATTAAACAATGAATTTAACTTTTTTCTTTTGTTCCTGATTGATTCTGCTTATGAATGGATGACAAACTTTTTAAACTGGAGAATGATGGATAGTAACGCAGGTGCTAGCAAAGGGTGAAACTGAACGACTGAGTAGGGTTCAAATGAATTTTGGCAAAACTGTCTGATAAGCCTTGTGTTCACTAGTGAAATTTTGCAAAAATTTCCCACCATGATTAAAACTAGTTCATCTTTGTGGCTTCCTTGTTAGTAAAAACCCAGCTGTCAGCACCACCCTTTCACTGCCTAATGAGCCGCTGCTGTCAGCTCGCACTCTCTCTGCTTGTCACCCTAGTCTGGGCATTTCTTTTCAGTTCAGTGAAGGGGTTTATCCTCTGCATTGTTCAACAGCAAATCAGGTTCATACACCTTTCCAATTCACCATCCCTTGGTTTCTCAGGTCAGAGCTACACAGAGCATTCACAGTTCATGCCATGTAACCTAGCACTATATTTTTTCAGGGCATGGGAAGCCACCATAGATTCAATCCTTGTTGTACATAATTACTGTTCTTTTGTAGCATGAGTGAGGTTGTTCACACAACAACAAAGTTTCTCCAGGTCTTGTTCTTACCAACAAAACCCACTTGTACATTTCCCATTTTTGTTGTTGTTGTTTGTGAACTTAGTGCTCATTGTATTTGATAACTGGGATTGGTGGGTGAAGCTCACCAGATCTGGAGACTGAATTACTCTATCAGACTGAATAGCTGTAGAATGGGATGCCATCGTGCAAGCTTCCCTGCACTGCTCTGCCAACATGCCTCAACCCTCACCTGGAAGCACTGCTTCTAAGGTTGAAGAGGTCATTCACCTTCCCCGCGCTTTCGGTCCCTAGCCCCTTGGCTGAGATTGCCATCAAGGGGGTTGATTCAAAATGGCATAAATTTTGCAAAAGCAGCATAGTTCGTGAGATTTCCACCAAGTTGGCCTGAAAGCTCATGAGAACAGGTCTGCAAGATTTTGGTGCTATCTAACCTGAACCTTAGCCCTGATTTGAGCTTTGACCTGAACCTCAAACCTTAGCCTAAACTTAATCCAAATCTAAAGATGAACCCCTCTGACTACGTATAATTTAAATAACACACGCCTTCTGAGTGGGGGGGGGGCACTTTCTCACTGAAATGGCATGTAAAAGCAGGAGGGGATAGAAATGGGTGTTACTATAGTGATGAAGTCACTGGTGCACTTGCTCTCACCTGTCATACATGGCAGTTAGCAGGTTCTGGGTGAGCTCAGGGGCTTTTGGATCTACCTGGCCTGGTTTATCTAATCTGGCATTCTGGAATAGCTCCTTCAGCAACTGTGATAGCTGCTGTGTTGTCAGGGAGCTCTGCTTCTCCCTCTGACACTGGTGGCTCGGCAGGATGTGCTGAATCAGGGAGACATCAGTCAAACCCACTGTGGGAAAACAATGGGAGAAATTAATCAATCCCTATATCTTTATCGTAAATGGAAGCAGAACATTTCTTAACTGAAAATACATAACTAAGACCTGTCTGGAAAGCAAAGACTCTTACAATACTTGGTATAAAACTGAATGGGGAAATACCCTGCAAGGGCTCTTGTGCTGGGTTTTCATATTCAGCTAATTTTCTGAGAGTCCAAAGAAGGAAAAGATCAATTGAGCTTTCATGGGCCTGGTTTTTAAATCGTGATACAGGAAAAGTGCAGGAGCAATTATTCATCCAAACTGCACATGTAACTTTTGTATGTGGGATGCAATTCATGCCTGGGCAGAGAGAGAACACGAAGCCTATGCACCACTTACAACATCAAAATAAGGCTTAAGTGGGACTTCAGGTTTCCTTGCCCTTCACTGTAGGTTTCCATATAATGTCCGCTAGAATAAAAGAGCATGGGAAATGGTTTGGCCAAGAACACCAGGGTAACTGCCCTATTATAAAAAAGTGCCATGGGATAGTTAATGTCCACAGAGTGCAGACAGAACTCTGATCTTTTTAAGATCACATCCAAAAGACCATAAGCCAGAGTAAACAGCATAGAACTAACTGTATCCAAGTAGAGAAAAAGTGCATGGAAAGTGACTGGAAAGGGAGAAGAGATGAACAAAACCAATGTGAACAGCAGGAGTATATCCTTGGCCTTCACTCAACAACTGAGACCGTTAATATGAGCATGCCCTGCACATACATCGATCAGAGCATAGATTCCAAAATGGGAACATCCACTGAACCAACTGGACATATGATCTGAAAATCATCTAGAAACTCATATTTTGTCAATGATTTTGTGACAACTCTGACATATCGGAAAATATTTTTTTCATGGATTATAAGGCCCAAAGGGACCCCTGTGATGGTCTAGTCTGTCCCCTATAACGATATTTATGGAATATTTTACTTTACTAAATCCAAGCCTTAATTTGGTTTTGATTATTATTTATTATTACAGTAGATGCAATGGGCTCGAGCTGAGATCAGGGCCCCATAGTGCCAGATATAGTACATACATACGGTGAGACAGTCCTTGCCGCTAAGAGTTCACACTCTAGATGGATAAGGGATGGGAGAAAAAAAGTATTAAAACCCCTTCTTAGGAAAAGGCAACTAAGGCACAGAGAGATTAAGGGTGGGATTTTGAAAACACCTAAGTGATTTAGGAACAGAGGGTCTATCGACTTTCAAATGACTTAAGTATTTTGAAATTCCCAGCCAACATGACTTGCCAACATACACAAAGTCTGTGAGAGAACTGGGAACGGAACCCAGATTTCTAGTGCCGTAACACCAGGCTAATCTTCCTTGCCATACTGCCTTTTGCCTTAAAGGTAATGACTGCTATTGTTGTACCTTCTCAGGAACAGACTGTTTCAGGTGAGGATGCTGGGGCATTCACCTTGCTGAAAGTGACACAAAGACAACCAATTCCATATGCTTCCACTCTGTGTTAAGCTTGCATCCAGAATTAGAGAGCAAGAAACCCAGAACTCTACTCAGTAACACCTTATTAAGACAAAAGTCCCACTGACTTCAGTGAGAATTTTGCCCGGAGAAGCAGTGCTGAATAGATCCTTTATAGTCTAATTTATTTTGTGGTTGTTAATGATAATAGCATTAATAATACTGTTTGCAAATCACCCATGCATTTTTGATGATTTATGTCTATTTCCAGTAAATCAATTCCTAAGCAACACATCAGATTTTGACATTTAACAAGAACATATATGGAGTTCCATAATCGTTGGCAACTTTTGCACTATGTTAGCAATGTAATATATTGTAATAATAATGCAAAGATTCCTTATCTTGCAAAACTTTTTAAAAAGCTCTACTGTCTCAGTCTGGCCAGCCCTCTAAGGTGACCAATCTAGCCTATGACTTAGCAGTTAACAACCCGAAGCTGATAGTGATCTGGACTCCATTACAATTAGTGATCCCAGCTGTGGAAGGGCCAGGGAGACTACCTGGAGAAGGGAGAGAACAGACACAGGAGGAGGTCCAGGAGAAAGGGGAGTTCTTGTTCTCTGGGAACGGCCTGGTGAAGACAGACTGAGCAGGGCCCTGGAGACAGAACTAGTCCTTGTGGTGGAGCTGGAAAAGGTCTAGGGAGGCAGCCTTGTGGGTTGGTTTTCCAGGGTAGGAACAAAGAACTGGGAGTACCTTGGGAGAAGCTTTAGAGCCAGAGGAGAGGCTGTATTATCCATAAGCTATTAGGACGTGGAGGTAAGAAGTGGCCCAGGGAAACAGATCTAAAGGAGAGAACCTAGCTGCTCAACAAAAGGCCACTGGGCTGGAAACCACAGTGGAGGAGTGGGAAGAAATTGGGGTTCCCCTACTAGCTGGGAAAAGGATGTAAAAACTCCATCACAAGGGCTATTGAGTCCAGAGTGGGGCTCAGGATTGAGCCCAGATGATGGATTTAGGAGTAGCCCTAGTGGGTTGAAAGGATCTCTTGTTGGGATGTGTGAACTTCTAGCTGGCCTTCTGTTACTCCAGAAGATATCTGGACTAAATGTGACTTAGAGGGCAAGTTGTGGACCAAAATGGTCCACCGTAGGACCAAATTGGTGGTCCACAGGGGCTGTTAGAGGCAAAGATTTCTGCGGTGGCATGCTAAGGCAGTGAGTAGAACTGTTTACAAAGATCTATTAAAGGGAGAGTTCTTTTGAATTTCACGGGTGCAGTGAACTATCTACTACTGCCATTATAGCAGATCTGCTTTTTCTGTAATAGCATTGACTATGCTCCTCAACCTTCACCACTCTTTCCATTAGAGAGCTGAGATGGTTATGATGCTCTGTGCTAAGTGACCAGCCCCTTACCCCCTTTTCACAAATAGTATTTGCCAGTGTATTTGGGGTTATGTTACCATCTGGTTTAGCATAGGGGTTGAATGTCTGACTTTGACATTTTACATTGTAGTTTGCAATGTTGGAGCTGAGAGAGACAAGGTCGGAGAGGTAATATCTTTCCTTGGATGAATTTCTGTTGGTGAAAGAGACAAGCTTTTAAGCTACACAGAACTCTCCTTCAGGTCTGGGAAAGGTATTCTGAGAATATGTCTACACTGCAATGTAAACCCAGGATTAGTAGAACTTGAGTTAGAAGTCTTTGGGTTTGTTAACCTAAGGACTGAGCATCTACATTTATCTGCAACCCCAGATTAGGAATTGTTGAACCCCGAGTCCCAAACTGGGCCTCCAGCATCTACACTGTATTATGCAGGCCCAAATCCAGCCACACACATCCCAGACTTCCTAGTGCCCTCCCAAAATATGGCCACTTTACCTTTGTTCGTGGTGCAGTGTGGGAAAGCTTGACTGTCCAGAGGACAAAGTTGGTTTGTGAGGTTGTGGAATACTTTTGGCAGACTCCCAGAATCTGAGTCTAGAGGGGCTGTGTCCACGCTGCAAAGCAAAAGGCCTTGAATCCTGGGTCCCAGTTTGACTCAGGTTCTGACCCTCCTCTCCCATGGGGTCATAAGACCTTGAATCCTAGCCCTGGGTTAGCACAATTTGTGTGTAGACAGAAGGCAGCTTAAGCTTGAGGTGGAGTTCAAACCCTGGGTTTACAATGCAGTGTAGAATAGACATACCCAGAGTGTCACAGCTAAAAACAAGGTGGAACAGATTGTTTAGCGTATGTAGTTAACACACGTTCTAAGGGACCACTCAAGGTGAAGTGGTCCTTTAACACCTCTTCGCTCATAGGAGAAAAGAAAGGGGGGAGGTTAGTGGGTTATAGATTATTGTAATAAACCATAAATCCAGTGCCTTTATTAAGACCATGATTTTTAGTGTCTAGCAGAGTTATGAATGTAAGCTCCCAGGCTTATCTTTGAAAGGTCTTGTGCAGGTTTCCTTTGAGGACAAGGAGTGAGAGGTCAGCTACAGAGTGATCATTTTGTGATATGGTATTTCTTCTCTCCCCCCTTTTCTCCCCCCCCCCCCATGTGAGTTCATTCAAGAGTTGTCATAAACATACAGCTAAGGGTAGCATAAAATCCCTCCTTTACCTGTAGAGGGTTAAGAAGCTCAAATAACCTGGCTGACACCTGACCAAAAGGACCAATAAGGGGAGAAGATACTTTCAAATCTGTGGGGGAAGGTTTTTGTTTTGGCTCTCTTTGTTGCTCTCTCTGGGACGGAGAGGGACCAGGACAGGAAAAATACATCTCCTAAAGCCATATCTGAAATAAGATTACAAATTGTAAGTAATAGCAATGAAATGTGTTAGGTTATCTTTTGTTTTAGCTTGTGAATTTTCCCTATGCTAAGAGGGAGGTTTATTCCTGTTTTTTGTAACTTTAAAGTTTTGCCTAGAGGGGAAACCTCTGTGTTTTAACTCTTACTACCCTGTAAAATTATCTTGCATCCTGATTTTACAGAGGTGCTTCTTTTACTTTTTCTTTATAATAAAGTTCTGTTTTTAAGAACCTGATGGGTTTTTAGTGTCCTAAAAACCCAAGGGTCTGGTCTGTGCTCACCTTGTTTACCTATTTGGGTGGTATATTATTCTCCAGCCTCCCCAGGAAAGGGGTTGAGGGGACTTGTTGGGGGGGGATACTTTGGGGAAAACAGGAACTCAAAGTGGTTCTTTTCCTGAATCTTTGTCTAACTCACTTGGTGGTGGCAGCATACCGTCCAAGGACAAGGAAGAATTCATGCCTTGGGGAAGTTTTTAAGCTAAGCTGGTAGAAATAAGCTTGGGGGGTCTTTCATACAGGTCCCCACATCTGTACCCTGGAGTTCAGAGTGGGGAGGGAACCCTGACACGAGTGTAGTGACATTGGGACATTGGTGCACATGATGAGGTATACCATATGTTCTGATGGGCATGTGGAGGACCTGTGGATCTTGAAAGGTGTGTTTGGGGAGGTGGTATTGGTCATCTTAGCAGTGGAGATATGTCTGCTGGTTTTGCATCTATTCTGGCAGGGTCTGGGGTGCCCAGGTCTGTGGGAAGCTTGCTTCTGATGATGAGGTTGGGGGGAGTTATTTGAAGGACAGAAGAGGGGGTCCAGGAAAGATTTCTTTCAGGATGTAGTTCCCATTGAGTATGGATTGTAATTGTGTAATGATACCCTGTATGGGTTCCAGTGTGGGGATGTAGGTGACAACTAGGTGTGGATGGTCAGAGGGTGTTTTTTCCTGTATTGAATTAGGTTTCCTTGGGGTACTTGGATGTCTCATTCCATGATGCAATCTACTTTGGTGGAGAGTTTTTGTTTGCTAAAAGTGGTTTTAAGTGTGTTTGTGTTGTTGTGTGTATCCCAGACTTTCTCCTCAGAGCATATTCTGTGGTATCTGATGAGTGCCTGGCTGTAGATAAGTTTTGGGTAGTTACTGGATCTGTGAAGGTAATTGTGGTAATCTGTGAGTTTCTTGTACATAGTTGTCTGCAGGGTTCCATAGCTGAAGCTGATTGTGGTGTCCAATTACTCAATAGTAAGTGTGGGCAGGGCAAAGCTGATCTCCAAGGCAAATGGAGAACATCTGCTTCTCTTTCTGGGGTGAGTCTGCCATCCTACAGGGTACAATCTCTTTGTAAGAATACTGTTACTGTTTGCCTGGTCACTGTGATTCTCCCACACCCAGGGCTGGTGCAACCATTTAGGCGACCTAGGCGGTCGCCTAGGGCGCTAGGATTTGGGGGGCGCCATTTTCTTCGGCAGCAATCGAGGCGGCCGGATCTCGGCCGCCCTGGTCGCCGCCGGCATTTAGGCTGAGGGAACTGGGGTAGTGGAGCGTGGGGAGGGCCGCCTGCAGCAAGAGGGGGGGGGCATGTCAGGGCGGAGGGGGGGGAGCTGCCGCGGGGGGGGGCGCCTCAGGGCAGGGGCTTGGGGACCGGGGGGGGCGCAAGGTGGAAGTTTTGCCTAGGGTGCGAAACATCCTTCCACCGGCCCTGCCCACACCAAGTACTTCACTCACTGAGGAGCAGGTTTCCGTGTCTAGACTTTATTTTAGTTAGCCTGGCTATTTAACTTTCTCCTCTTTTTTCCTTTTATTTTAATTTAGTCTAAGGAGAATGAGCCAAGCAGATGAAGCAAGTAGGAAAAAAAAAGTTTGTTTTTTGCCCTACAGTTTGAGTCACATTCACCCCACCTAGCTGCAGAAGGTACAAATTGCACTAGTGAGGCACAGACTACACTGGGGATTTATTGAAAATTAAACCATATTTTAAACATAGCAATGCTTGGTTTTGTTTAAAAATATTTCACTTCAATTTTAGGTTTTCCCCCACTTTTAAAAAAACTGGAGAAAGTATTGGTTTGTTTCACTTGTTATGCTCCCATTTCTCAATCAGTAAAATGGGAATAATGATATTTAGTGTCTTTCAACTGAGAATCTCAAAGGAAGCTAATACATGTATGAAGTATTATTTATTAATTCATTAATGTTGATGATAATCTTTGAGATCATCAGATGGAAAGCATTAGAGAAGAGCAAGTAGTAGTATTTATGATTGCAACTCAGAGCCAGCACTCTTCCAGATTCTCCTCCCACAGGACTCTTTTGAGCTACTTACACTGGCACAAGGTTTGCACTGAGCGTAGTTTCAGGGCTGTTCTATAGACAGAATTCTGAATGTCATTTAGAGCTTCTGTAAAGGAAAACAAATATACATTAACTAGCACGAGAATCTATGGTATGAAGGGAAGGGATGGTGAAACGCTTAAGAGAACATGAAAGGAGTCCTCAAAGACCTGACCTCTGAGACCAGGGTTTCTCAAACTGTCCAGCTCTCACCTGATCCCAGTCTGGACTCAGTTACAATTAGTGAGTAAAAACTAAGGACACAGGATTTATCCCAAGAACTTCAGTGAGATAGTCAAGGGGAAGCATTAAAGCTGAAAAATTGTTTGATTCTAAGAGGGCCACAGATGTTTGTCTTAACATAAAATTTGCCCAGTGCATGGAACACTATAGCCCTGCTAGGTGTGAAGGTAACTGAACAGGCTCTTATAGAAACAGCATCTCTGCACTGATAAAGAAAGGGCACTGTTTTTAGAAATATTGTTTCATTATTAACTTGACAAAAGGTATGCACAGTGCTCACCCTCACTCTGCACCATAAACAGAGCCAATGCCCAGAGGAGTTAATAGGTTTCTGTTCCAGAACTGTAGGACCCAAGTGTTGTTTTTACAGTATAGCGTACACATGGTGCAGAAAAACAGTGCTCTCCTGATGTGAATCTTTCAAAGAGAGACCAGCCTAGTAGTTTGATCACTATTTTAGACTCTCTCCATAAATAATGCTAGAGGGACTAGCCTGTCATCACTGGAGTCACAAGACAGGAGGATGCCATTTTGGGGAGGTACTACAGACTGACAGAGCTCACGCTATACTACAGCTGGTCAAAAATGTCCACTGAAATAGTTTTTTGATAGAAAATAGCTTTACAACAAAATGGAAAAATTTGCAGACTTTAAAAAAAAACCTCAACAACTTGGCTTCAACAAAAATCTAAAACTTTGAAGGAAAATGGATGAAAACCAAAACAATTTCATTTTTGTAGTCTTTTGCAGGGAAAAACAATTTCTCAACCAGTTGTACTTTATACTGTGAAAACAATGCTTGGGTCTTACATCTGTGGCTCTGTTAGAACCAAACAATTTGTCAGCAATCTCACTGAAGTTCTTGGGTTAAATCCTGTGTTGTTACTACTTCTACTCACTCCGTTCAAGTCAATGGCCATTTGAGTAGGAACTGAGTAAGGGGCTTCGTGACTTGACCTGTTGTTTATACAGTGCCAAAAATATTCCTGGTGCTTTACAGACATACATGTAAACTCTGTATTTAAAAAAAAAATGCTTATATACAGTATCTTTAGAAGCTATCAAAGGACTTATTAGCTTGTTCCTTTCTCCTGGTAAGCCATATATATCCCTGCAGTTCAAACAGGAAGCAAATACTTACAGATGATGAAGGGTGTAGATAAACTGTAAACATGCATAACTGAGTGGAAATAGGTCACGAAACTCTCCACTTGTTTCCTGTGGAAATGGACCAATTTGTGGTTCCTCACATACATGCCAGTCTAATGCTAATAGTCAGCACATTATGGACTCTGCTGGTTCTCAGTTGCTTCCTATGGTATAGAAGTAAACCTGTTTCTGCTACGCCATCTGTCCAGTCTTGCTTTTGTCAGGTTATGTTGCTGCCTGCTGTTTGGAGAAGTTATGCAGCATAATGCACCGTATCAAGTAATGCAATATGGAAAAAGAGTTTGGTTTTGCTGGCTTGTAGTACTAGTGATTTTTTTTTTTCTTCAAGGGCCTGATCCAAAGCACATTAAAGCCAATTGAAAGATTCCCACTGATTTTAATAGGCTTTGGATCAGGTCCCAAGTCTGATTTACAGAAGGAGAACAAGAAGCATCCTGAGGTGAGGGAATTTCATGCTATCATCTGACATTCTCAGGCTCACTTGCAGTGGGCACTGGTAGCCATCTGCTAGTGGTCTGCTTTGGAAACATTTCACCATATTTTTTACTTTTATGTCAATCCTTAACAAACATTAGGTTACCGATTGCTCATATTTGTAGGTCCTTCTGTACCAATCAACTAACATTTCCAAAACTAATCTGCAAGGTGTCCAAGCAAAGAAGATATTAGCCCAAGTTACATATCAATCAGAATTACTATTGATGAGAAGTCATTTTACAAGACATAAATTAAATATCTAATTTCAAACTGGGGTGAAATTCACCCGGGCAGAGAACCAGCAGGAGGCCTATGCACCACTGAATCCCACATTCGCCCTATATGGACTTCTTTCATGGGACTTAACTGGGGCATAGGCCTTGTGAAGGTCCAGGGCTTAAATGGTCCTTATGTGGTGCTAGACCTTGTGCTGACTCTCTGCACAGGGTGAATTGTACCCAAGACCACTAGGTTTTTAAAAAAACACAACTCGGGAGTCATTAATTTATAGTTGGGAGGGTTTTAGAGCCTGAGAATCAAAACCAACAAGAGGAAAAATAGCACGCAGAGCACCAATATTACAGTAGACTTTCTCTCCATGTTACCTGGCAGTAAATAAGTTATTACTGAACAAAAGGGTTTATTAATACATTGTATTCAGTTTGGGGCTACACCAGACAGCAGAAGCTGGGCTGAGGACCTCTTGAACTTCAATTAGACTAGGTTGGCCAAGATGCTGCTGCTAGCCCTCAAATTTAAAACTCGTGAAAATGGCATAGGCCAAGTAATTGATGGTCCTTGATGTAAAACTCTTGCTTTTATAATAGTTTGCTGATTAACTTGCATTAATGAGAGGGAACATAACAGTTTTCAAGTATATACGTTTGTTACAAAGAGAAGGGAGAAACGTTGTTCTTCTTAAACTCTGAGAATAGGACAAGAAGCAATGGGCTTAAATTGCAGCAAGGGCAGTTTAGGCTGGACACTAAGAAAAACTTCCTGACTGTCAGGGTGGTTAAGCACTGGAATAAATTGCCTAGGGAGGTTGTGGAATCTCCATCATTGGAGATTTTTTAAGAGCAGGTTAGACAAACACCTGTCAGGAATGGAATAGATAATACTTAGTCCTGCCATGAGTGCAGGGACTGGACTAGATGACCTCTCGAGATCCGTTCCAGTCCTATGATTACATTGGTTTAAGTTACATATTTTTGTCCTCCTTGTTTCCTTACACCTCACATCTAATTATCCAGCAGTTTTGCATCTTACTGACTTGAATGGCAGATGAGATAGTATCTGTTCTCCTATTTTATATATAATACAGGGCATACTGTAAGAATAACACAACCAGGAAATCCTTCTTCCAGGCTGTATGATCTAAAGCAACAGGCTGATCTACCATAACATTCGATCTTGTTCCTGCATTATAACAAAAAGATTCTGAAGATGGAACAACTCCAGTTAAGTTCACTAGTTTGGACACTGGGAATTCTCTTGTGAAATGTGGGAAGCACTTGACAACAGTACTTACCTTGCTGGTCTGGATCCATAACAGAGAGGCTTAGAATGGGCAGATGCCACTGGACTTCCTGTAACCAAACAAACCATGGTATTAAATCCCAGCTCCCAGCCAGGATATGTACAAGCTCTTTAAACTGGACATCTTAATCTGCATCATTTACTAGGTATATTTACAAGATGAAATTAAATAAAAATTACATAAAACAAGTTTTTACTTTAAAATGGACTCCCTCATGGTGCAGTTCCATGTGCATAACTTCCATTAAATTGAGGACAATGGGCCTGACTCCCCTCTCCCAATCAGTGTGAAACAGGAGTAATTGTAAATTTGTGTGAGAGAAGAATCAGGACCAATGGGAATTTAAATGCAGGTATATGGTAGGATGGGATCCTTTGCTACTCAGTGATCCAATGTGCACGTACAACATTACACCCACTCAAGAGTAAATAATACCAGAGAAGAAAGCATGTTTTGAAGTCTGCTAGCCACTTAGTAAGTGCACTTGCTTTAATAATTCAACTTTTTACATTGTTCCAAGTGGAGTAAGATTCTTCAACTAAGGTGCTATTATTTCTTTTCAGAGGTGAAGATGGAAAGGTGGAATGGAAAACATACACACACCTAACCTCTGTAACCCACCCCTGCTCTGGAAAATAGAAGTCCTTATACCATTGAGAACAGTGGAGACTTCAAGCCCTGCTCTCAGCTTACATGTCAGAAATGCAATAAATTAAATTCTGTTATTAGCTGCTGTCAAAATTCCTGTGAAGTTTATCTTCTAGTTATGCACTCACCTTTAGCAACATAGGGCACAATGGAACAGTTATGAGGTTCCAAAAGCATTATGTATGGCTCAGTGAAAAATCTTGATGTTCAATTGAACAAGAAATGAGTAACCTAGACAGAGCTGGAAATGGTCTGAAACATTAATAGTAAATATGACATTAAAGCTGAACTTACCCAAACTTGCATCATATTGTATTTTTCCACTCATAGCCATTGACCACTACTTATCAAATAAACATGATAGTACATCTGCCAATTCCACAGCATAGAAATTCAATGACCTATAGTTATTGGTGGGTCTGAAAAATGATGTCTATTATAGATGTATTGATTACCATTTTATTGTGTGAAAGCTATGACTCTGGGTCCCAATCTTACTCCCATATTAATATTTTAAACAGAGGAACCTACAGTTACTTTTGTTAGTTCATTTATAGACTCTTTCAAAACTCTTGCTTTGAAAGGAATATCACTTTTTTAAAATTCTCCTTATTCCATTACTTTCTTCCTTATTACAGTTTATGGACCTGATTCTCCATTAGCTCTGATAGCCTCAATTCTCAAAGTACTTAAGCAGGTGTATAACTTTGCTTACTGAAGTCCTCCCAGGATTGGGGCAGAGGTGTATACTGATGTACTAGTGCAGTCCCAGGGAAATCAGTGGGACCCCAGAACAGCAGGGTTCCATGCTAGTGCATCAGGGAATACATTATTAAAGGTGTAGTTACCTAAAGGCTGCCTCACTTTTCTTATAAGACGTAGACTTATATAGACGCAGCCTGCTACATGAAATACCTCTTACCTTGTTTTCCTGACAAAGATATACAAAATAAAGCAAGAGGTGACATTGTGTATAAAGGTACATGGGGCAAACTCGGTGTTAACAAAAATGGTAACAGTTCCACTGACTTCAATGAAGTTATGCAGTGAGTGCAAACTGTTAAGGCTTGATCCTGCAAAATGTTGAACATTTTAGCCTGATCCACCAAAACATTTATGCATACCCTAAAAGTTAAGTATAGATGTAGTACTGTTGAAGTAAATGGGACTATATAGGTGCTTAAAGTGAAACACGTGCTCATGTGTTTTGCTGAGTTGGACTAGAGTGCTCAGCATCTTGCAGGATTGAGCCCTCAGATATCAATGGAGTTGCATCCACGTGCATCAGCAATGCATTTGGCTCAAAGCGTTTTAAAGGCATTATTACACCCACACACATTATGAATGTATAAACTTTGGTGTGTTAAAGAGGGAGGTAACTAAATCGTGATTGCCTTTAATGGGGACTACTCGTGAGGTGAACAGGATTTGGCCCAAGGTTAATATCTGTTCTATACATAAAGTAAGCAAGATAAAAAGGTAAAAGTAATATTTATCCAGGTAGCAACTAATTGTTGCATTAACACCTCTTAGCAATTTCAGTAGGATCTGATGTACTATACTTAATGCACAGTATAGCAGGTCAGTAACAATAAGTCTAAATGCTTTATTTAATAATTAAATAGGCCTTAACCGAACGAAGTAGTAGTAGTATAAGATAAATCATGAATATGCAGGACAGAACTCCTACAACCTGAGGGACTAATCCTGCAAACACAAGTAACAATAGACGTGCAAGGTATAAGTAACATTACTCACATAAGTCGTTCCATTGAAGCTAGCGGGAATAGTCACATGCATTAAAGTTACTCATTTGCAAGAGTGTTTGCAGAATTGGGTCTTGCATCATTTTTTAAAAAAAATAGGCTAACTAAGATTCTGGAAGGCAAAGATATCTACAGTAGATCAACAGCCCCAAACCTGCAGTCTTTAGTCAGGCAAAACTGAGTCAGGTGAGATATTCAGGATGCTCTGTACTTAAATACCCTGAAGAAGCCATAGCAATATAAAACATTTTCTTATATATTTTGTGGGGGGGAGAAGGGAATTATTTTCATTCTATAATTGTAAATACAATCTCTTCTCAAATACAGTAATGGTTCTTACCTTTCTCTATTACCTACCAAAGGCCTGGAAGTCGCAAGGTACTGTGGAAGCAGTTCAGTAGTTTTACAGTAGTTAAAAGATGATTTCAAGACACCACTATTGTGCTTTTAAATGAATGCTGTTCACGGTAATACACAGGAAAGGCTCAGCTCAAGACATCGTACATTGTCTCAGCAGTCAAAACACAGAAGAGTAATTAATAAATATTCTGAATGATTAAATACAGAACTTCCTTGTTCGTTGTTTCAAAGGGCCATTTTTCTTATACTGTGAGGTAATAGTTCTAGAAGGGGGAACACAAACAAGCCTCTCCGGGTTGCTGAGAAACATGAGTTACTATGGACACTGGAGGAAGTCATTCTCTCTCAGGCAGGAAGCAGTGTCCTGTGACAATCAACTAGTCTGACAATTCAAACAGGGACAGTAATAAGTCAAACTGGTAATGTAACCCCCTAGGTAAAGCAGTGTTAGTGTAACCAGAAAGCTTACATGTTTTACAGTACAACCAAATGGTACAGTATGTGCAATGCATGTGCTAAAATTGGCAATAAATTCATTTATTTAAAGAAGTTTTAAAATTAAGCTTTTCCAGTTATTCTGACAGGCAGTATATCAGAACTCACATGCTCTACGCATTCCCTGCATATGTAGCATTAAATAATAGCTCATAAAATATGTACTAGAAATTATTTATGGCTTAAAAGATACTAAATCTGAGAATATATGAACAAATATCTTACAATGAGGCTGTTACAATGTCAGATTTTAACTACCCTCTAATTTAGGCTTAGAAAATTGGTCTGGTCTAAAAATTGGTAGAAATACTCTGAAGGCCAAGGAGAACATAATTATAAAGTTTGAAGAAAATGTGACAAACTGGTTTTCACTAGAGCTACATGTATTCCCTTAAACCTGTGCCCCCAATGACGCATCCTTGCCCCATGAATCATCTGACTCCTACATGATTTCCCTAAGACACCCAGCAGACTCTTGATTCCAGTATGAACTCTGCCAGTGAGACACTTGCCCCCATAAGAAACTTAGGGGTCCCTCACTTGCTGCCTCCATGACACTATTCCCATTTGTGCTGTTTCTTCTGTAAAATACTCAACTCCCATGTCCAAATCCTACCCAACACTCAATCTCGCACCTTTCTTTGGGCCACCTAAGCACTCTTCTCATAAGCTCCCTTTCCTTTGACCCACAAGACTCCCTTTCCCTATTTGGTCCAGCTAACTGGCAGAGAACCAAAGAACTCCACTTAGTTTCCTCCCCTGTCAAATGGAGCCTCCATTGGAACAGAAATGAGTTTATTCAAACACTATTTATTTGTTGCAGATAACAGCAAAAATGTTTATCCTGTTTCCAAACTTTGCAGCAAAAGGAAATTAAGAATGCACAATGGCATTTAATTTGTTTTTAAGATTGTCTATTAAAAGATGTAGACTAACAAAAGAAAGGAGTTCCCAATATAAGTGTACAACCAGCTTCCACTGAGTGCATATGAAAAGGTTTACTGCAGCTATTCAACACCCTGATTTGGGCAAGGACTTAAGCATCTGCTTACCTTTCAGCATAAGAGTAATGCCTTTTGAAACTAATGGAATGAATGGAGGAAAAAATGAAAGAAAAGTTGATATTTTTTCTTCCTTTTAAGATGAAGCACTAAGAAGCAAAGAAATGATCTTTTGTGATTAAAGAGAATTCTTGCCCTGACCATAACACTGTTGTCCTGTAACTGAATCGGGGATGTCAAGAACCACAGCTTGGCTGATCACACAGAGTTGACTGTCTCTTACGCCTCCCATTTTATTATTGCTTATATTTTCTAGAGCCAATCCTGAGAGCAAAATGTACTTTTGCTGTGCTGATTAGAGTGTGCTACACAGAATTTACATTCAGAAAGAAAATGCTTTCAATGGCTGTGTCAAGAAATTAAAGCCAAATCCTGAGGTACTTACCCTGGCAAAACTTTCATTGATGGTAATGGGAGCTGTGCGTTGGTCCATAAGCAGCAGAGAACACCTCTCAGGCCTGGTCTACACTAGGAGGTTATGTCGAATTTAGCAGCGTTAAATCGAATTAACCCTGCACCCGTCCACACAACGAAGCTATTTAGTTCGACATAGAGGTCTCTTAAATTCGACTTCTGTACTCCTCACCAACGAGGGGAGTAGCGCTAAATTCGACATGGCCATATCAAATTAGGGTAGGTGTGGATGGAATTCGACGCTAATAGCTCCGGGAGCTATCCCA